TCAACAGCAAGAGTCTGGGAAACTCAGGATTAAAATGCTCGCCACACAATCGGTCTACGACTCATTGGTCGGACTCAGACTAAGACAGCACCGAATCCTGCAACAGCTCATGAGCACCAACAACATACGCGACTCTGCAGAAGTAGGGGGATTGTAGCGAGCATCATTGTCCATGTGGCCTTGTACCTTGCATCGTGTTGTCCTCATCCGATATGCGACACCTATTCTGTTCGTGCACTCTTGTCCGTCTTCCACGTAGGATCACACGCCGAAAAGCCGAAGCCCTTTCGCCTGCATCTCAGCATCCTGGCTCCGATGGTGGGCTTCGGAAGCCTCTTGGAGAGCTTTGGCCTGTGCACATTGAAACGTTGAGATATTTCGGGATTCGGAATCTCGTATTGTAATGTAATCACTTCCCACCATAACATCAAACACCAGACTTCTGCTTCACTCTGCAGGTGGACACGTAGCTGCCACTGACCTCATCCGGTGTTGCTCCTACGACAAAGGGTAGGTATTGTTTGCAACACTGGTGGAAACTAAGATTGCAAGCAATTCTACTGCTACTGTACTTGCAGTGCAGTCAGTACTGGTGCTACTTACTTGTGCTCTTCGCGACTACCACTAGCTGCAAGTATTCGGAGCCCCAGCTTCCTGGGAAACCCCAAAAGCCCTGAGCGCAGAGCCCAGACCAAGTCCCAGACCATTACGTCTCGCAATGATCCAACTCGCAGTAACCCCTAGAGGCGCACCTCGCAAAACATATCGACCCAAGTCGACAAACTTCCCCCTAGCGAATCCAGCGATACTACGCTACCCATCAACATGACGCGAATCCGTAGTTTATTCATGATGCAGAATACATCGGCCCCGAAACACCCATTCGGACCCCGTGCTTGGGTGGTTCCTCCATTTGGCCCCACCCTGTCGGACCCTGCTCAGAAGATACTTCGAGGAGGCCCGGCGTCGCCCACCCCTCTGTGGACAGGTCCGATCGAAGGATTCATAAAATCGCACTCAAGGCAGTCCATGCCTCAGCACTGACAGTGTCCAGCTTGACCTGAAGCCGCTGCTCAACCTGGCATACGTGCAGCCACCCAGCTCTAGCCTTCTAGTCCAGGGCTGGTCATAAGCAACTTGCTCCGAACGAAATCTCTCGAAGATAATCGATGTCCGAGGGTAGGCACGCATAGCGGGAAAGTCTACAATCGTCTACAATGCTGCAAAAGGAATACGAAGTACCTGAGTTATGCGCAGCTCATCGCCCACAGATTGCTCACTACGGTGTGTTTGGGGAAACGACACACCATTACGAACGGACGAGGGTGGTCAGCATAAGGTGTCCTCTTGCCAAGTCCATTTCCTTGACTTCTCACGGAGACTTTTTCCTTTCGTGCTGGAATCGACGGCGGTAGCTTGAACAGACCTCGCATCTCACCGGACTAGTTCGCAAACGCTTGTAACTTGCACCTGCTGCAGTGCTTCATCTTGGCGCTGTCGGCCGCCGGCTACCAACCTCAGCAGCGATTAATACAGGGCTGCCAATCTTTCAGCACCACCGGACACCATCAACCACTGTGATGCATCACGATCACGATACGACGGGAGCTTGCTTGCATACCCGTCGGCCAGTTCCGTCGGCCGACGGTGCAAGCGTTTGCAGGGATGAAAAAAGTTGAACGAGGCCCACAATCGGCGCAAGAGAATCGTTCGAAACCGAGGCACTCGTGAAAGGTCGACAGCAGCTTCGTCGCTTCCTGATGTCAGCTTCATGTCAGCTGCAATCTTAGGTTTTGCCCTTAATGGTCCCACATGAACTCAATGGCATCGCCCACACTTTTCCAAGTCTTCAAGCGCCGACTCAAAACAGCCATGCCATAAGCTTCTGGCGAATGTCCACTAGCCTGAATCACCTCTTAATTAGTAGCCGGTAATTACACTAGTTGCTGTCACGTCAACACAAACTCCACCGAGCAAATAAAACTCCGGATCATTCAACTTGCAGTTTCCTCGCAACAGTGCTGAGGCCGAAACGTGCGAACCCAGCAAAGGTGGATGTCTGGAAGCACTACAAGTACAATGCACTTGAAGCAGCAATGATTGAATGCTTCCTAAGATGCAAAGCCTGCAAAAGCTCCATCGACGAACCGAACCCCCCCCCCTCCCCCCCCCGGCTCCTCGTGGCGGCTGGTGGCCTCTGCTTCCAAGGCCTTCCGGCACAAACAAGGACCGATTGCAAGCCCTAACTACCTGACTTCGCCTCTCCTTTCCCATGTGCCAGGGGTGGCCATGCTCTCTGCTCTTGGCAAGGTGTGGCCCCGAAATAAGACACACAGTTTCAAGATGGAGCAGTCCCCGTGCTGTGCGCGGACTTCCGGCCTTCTCGAGATGCTCCACACGGCTGGCCAGTGCTTGCCTCGGAGCTTCCGTAGTACCGAGGAAAGCCACACTTTGCTTCGGCTACGGGAAACAGAAGTGAAGTGCTAACCATTTCTCTCCCAGGTGCAGTTCCCCGACAGGTACGGATGGGGCTCCGGGGCCAGGGTCGGACGACCTCCAGGGACCCCAACACATCTGTGACTTGGGACGTTTCCTTTCAATCCGAAAGAGATGCTGGCAAGCGAGTTGGAAACCAGTAAACGGATGACGACGGATATGACGGGGAAAGACCGAGTCGAGAGTTCTCCTGATGTGCAAGACGACTAGGACACGCTTACCCCCGTGTGTCTTGAGCCGTTTTGGCTTGCTCAAATTCCCGTGGCTTTGTCAGCAGCGCCACATGGGCAACAAACCTGCGCGGAAAGCTGCTGCAACTTCTCAGGCCAGGCCTTTCATTCAGCTGCCGACGAACCTGGACGTCGGCTTCGAAACAATGCTGCTACCGTACACGCTATTGGGAACTCAGAAAACGAGATGACCCTGGTACACCGTCACTTGGAGAGCCTGCATGAGGAATGAACGACACCGTCTACCCAAGAAACAACACCCCAAAACTCAAACTGACTTCAAGCTTCAACAACTCAATGCCTCCGCACGGACAAGACCCTCGGTGATGGACGACGATGCAGTTGGAGATGTTGCCTTGATGGCGCGACTTGCAAAGCGGGCTTAAGCTAAGGATGTGAAAAGATCCGACTATCAGGCAAGCCAACAAGTGATGCTGGAATACTATGCGCCACGGCAGCACTTGCACTGTTCCACAAGCACCCAGACTCTCAGATAGGTAAACAAGATATGTTGCGCAAGCACTGTGAGATATGAAGGCTCACATAAAATTTGAGGGGTCGGAGGATTTGGTAGGCGAGTTTCAACTTCTGCGCTCCGTACGCATGCCTGAACGACGTATAAAGCATGCATGCGGTGCTGCTGCTTGTCTATCACTGTATGCCAGCCGCTGCATCTCAGCAGCCATAACATTGACCATGGGACTGTCTGTGTAGTGCCAGGCTCTATGTAGCATGTCAAAGGCCGGGCCCTGAATCGAACCCACATAAGGCGCCTAATTCTCTTGACTCGATTCCGCTTGCCGGGGTTTTGGCTTAGCCTGGTTGCAACAGCACTTTGTTGCTGGTACGGAGACTTACACCCGATCTGTATCAGAACATCTTGAAGAGCAAGCATCGCTTGGCGAAGCATGGCAACTTTAAAGTTTCCGGCGCCGACTGGACTCAAGGCTTACTTTGTTCGGAGTTTCCAAAAAAGGGCGTGAACGTCTGAAGAGCTGTATGATGCCGTACGACTCAATGTGCGCTCTGAGGGTGTGCGACGCGCCCGTGCCTGGCGACCCCCTGAAGCTTTATCACTTGAGGATTTGAGGAGTGTCACGCATGAGTGGACTTGATCAGCTTTCTTGTTAGCGGCCTCGCCGCGAGCTTGCACCCGAAGCTGGTCGACCAGCCTGGTGCTGACAGGATGTATTCTCGAGAAGCCTGTTTGCTGGCTGTCAGGCCAGCCTGGAAAGATCGGCGGTGGCGTTGCTGATTTCAAGCTTTTGCATGTCCAGCTCCTGCCGGATGTTGTCTCCTTGCAGGCGCAGCGATGGCTTCGGGAACATATCCGTGCAAAAACCTGGAGAGTCGAAGCCAAGTGTCGAAAGTGGCCGAACTCGCTGAGGACTTGCTGCGTCTGGGTTGCAGCAGCGCCTGATGCTGGGTAGCACGAGCCTCTACCACATGAAAGGTGGCAGCTGATGGTGCTTCCGTTGCCAAGCCGAGCCTACTTCGAGCCGCACTTCTCGCTGCATCGCTCCCAATCGTGCCTGGAGGGCTAGGTTTACGCATCCTGACTTCTTCCTTTTCAAAAGAGTTGGGCAGCGCAGAGTGGGATCCTGCAGTCCGACATCACTCTTGTCCTGTTTGCTTCAATACAAGACAACCTTCCTGGCAGGCATGCTGCACGTTCTGTGGCTCATGACGGCATGGAACTCGACGTGCGGGCAGTCGCAGCATTGTTTTTTGTTAACAATGGCCCAGGTTACATGTAGTCTCTCTTTGTCCACAAGATCTCATCGCTCTCTCGGCTTCTTCTGCACTGTTTTAGGAGCAAGAACCTCGAATCTGGTGGCAATAGCCTTGGGGCTCAAGGTTCTGCACTCACGCTCGGGCTTTTGAGGCCAAGCATTTGTCCACGAGAAGCTGGAACATTAAGCAAACGACCAGAATGACCAACCATACGAAGTGAAGCCAGCTCATCGGGGTTCCGGTCGTTGTTTCAAGGCACGGGGAAACAACCTGCTGCGCTTCTTCTACACCGCTGCAAACAGGGTGTGCTCCAGTGGCTAGGACTTTTCTTCGACACGGTGGTGGTGGCTACAGGCCATGTCCATGCTCGTCTAACTAACTTCAGTTATAATGATGTGATTGATTAGTGATAGCTAGGTGATCGAAACTACGATGCTAAGCACACATTTTACTGCGCACCATTCGAGACTCAAGGCCTGCGGTCACAGTGCAGCTCCATGCTTCACAGTCGAACTCTGCACATGTTCTAGAACGGAGACATCAGCCCCCAAAATTCTTGTCGACTGTGCTCCCGCCTCGTTTGAGGCGACATTCGCCCTGTCTACCGCGGCTCAGTACCGTTTCTTCTTTCTCGATGGCATAGCTGTTGGACTGCAACAAACGGTACATCGGTTCCATGTGTGCTCCAGCAAGCTTGGTGAGCCCGTCCGCCGGATTTTCATTATGTGGTACCCAACGGATGCGTCCTTTGAGGCGCTCCAGGGACTGCTGAATGATAGCAATCTCCAGCGCAGAGCGATCGTCTTCACCGTGAGACTGTTCCGCGTGAAGCGCATCGAAGAGGGACTTGGCATCAGCTATCGCCACGCTCTTCGGGTCCGTGTATCGAGGGTCTTCTGTCGCCAGAACCGTAGGGAGGTCGTCCAGGTCGTCCTCGTCGTCGACGCACTCGCAGGGGTTGTAGTCGGACTTGGTGAAGCTCTCCCAAGTGGCCACTTGACGTTCCAGGGCCCCCATCGCCGTCGAGAGAGCGATGGACTCACACAGAAGCGTATTTCCGGCTTTCCGTTTCATTTTTCTGGATTTCCACGAAATCAAACTCACAGGGGCCTTCTCTCCCAGATTTAGTGCCGGACTGGTGATGCCTTGCAGCCAACCATGCTGTGGTTTTGATTTCCCAGTCGGGTCGAATGCGGAGTCGGAGATGACGACATGGCGCACCTTGTCTTCGGCAATGGCGTGAATCTTGAGGTCCACCTTCTTAGCCTTGACGAACTGCACCACCTGGTTGACGGCAATGACGTCCGCCATAGTTGGATTTGGAAAGCACCCTGCGAGGATACTTGCTGTTGCCGACGCATCGGGTCGGCCCTCACGGGCCGCCCAGTTCAGAGCAGCTATAACACCACGCAGCTGGCTTTCCTCATCGGCGGTGAGCTTGATGTTCGGGGCGTCCTTCTTGGTGAACTTCCGGGTCACGTCCACATAGCGGAGTCGATTGCTTACGTAATCAGACATGCTGTAGCTGAAGCTGAAGTCGGGGCTCTGCTTGAGTCTGCGGCCGGCATAACCCGAGCCTGATGCCGTGTCTAGAAGACTGGTGACTTTGCCAAAGCGAAAACGGCTTTCCAAAGCCTTCATCTTTTCTCTGTGTCGCTCTCCTCCGGCTTCCAGAACATCATCCACCTCGATCACGATGATGCCTTGAGTGCTTTTCTGGTCCTCGAGCTTCTCCAAGGGGTCCGCCTTGAGTGTGAGGACGCATTTGTCGTACGGGGACACGGAGTAGCCGAGTTCCTTGACCAGCACCGCTAGGAGAGACCTGCGCCACCATGCTGGGCCTGAGACCAACCCATAAATTTCTGTTAATAGCAATATGAGTTGCTTGGGGTGGTATTCAGGAAAGTGCTCGCAAGATGGCATCCTGACTGCTAATTTTTGTTTTCTCGTAGTCGGCATCGACTGTAAAAAAGCTGTTTTCACATCTCGTACAAACGCTCCCCACTTCTTGGTGGCCGCTGTCTGCATTGCCAAGTAGATGGATGTAGTGAGCGGAGTCGGGGCGGAGCGCTCAATGGCGTGTACGTCTGGATCTCGCCACCCTACCACGGTCCATCGGGACTTCGCTCCCACTTCCTCGCTGTCAGCGTTGGCGATGTGGTAGGCGTCGAAGTGATCGGGCAGTGTGGCACCATCCTCGGCGGGCTTCCAGCGGTCCACGTACCGGCTCGTCAAGACGTGTTCCGGATGATCCCTTTCGAATTGTGCAGACTCCTCCAGGGTCAGGATCTTGATGGCGCCACTGTCGAGGAGGCTCTTGATCTCTTTGGCCCGGGACTTGCGGAACACCTTCTTGAGCTTCTCGTGAAGACGCCGAAAATCCACGTGTCCCGGAGGGTCCACTTTCTTGGCGAGGAACATCCGCTTTTCTTGGTGATGATAAACCGCATGAGCTTCATCACTCTGGAAGGTCTTGGGGGACGACGGAACAGGCAATCTCCGGTTGCGAGCCTTGTCGGTCCACCATTTCACCTTCTCGGAGTGGTCATCGGACTTCATCACCTCCAGGTACGCATGAGGTTGGCCTGGTGATGGCCACGAGGGGATCGGAGAGGTCATCGGATATGGCATTGGACTCGGACGGGTCTCCCGAATCGGACCGAAAACCATCTCTCCAGAGCTTGCCTCGTCCACCCGGATGCTGGGTCTCCTGGAAGTAGTCGTCGATAGCACCGGCTCCGAAGGACTGGGTTCCGAGGGGGGACGGGTGCTCGCTTCTACTTCCATCGGGATAGGTGTTTCAGGAATGGTCGGGAGTACCTCGGTCGAGGGCGCAGAAGGAAGAGCATCAAAAGGTTGAAGACCAAGCTGTTCTGCTTCTTGAGGAGTAAGCTCTTCCACCTCCGACGGGGCGTATTCCGAGAGCTCGTAGTCCTTCACCTCGTCATCTGGAAAGCCCTCATCCTGAACGTCGCGATAGTGCTTCAAGGATCCCTTCTCGAAGTCTTCCAGCATTCCTTTCGCCAGAATCTTCCGCAATTCTGCTCCGAAATTCTCCTCAGTCGTGGCCAAACGGGTTTGCTCTCGAGAGGCCTTCAGAAGGTAGCCTCTCAGACTGATCCAAAGCGAGCGGCCGTTCTCCGTAGTTTGGATCACCACTCCGGGACCTGACCAGCCACGAAATTCTGGGGTGGTCCTCCAAACATAAACTCGGTCTCCGGCACGGATCTGGATCGCGTCCACAGTTCTCGAGTTGGTTTTCAGAGCTCGGGAGATCGCCTCGAAGTCCTGGCGCTCCATCCAAGCCTTGGCGGCAGCTTCTCGGATCTCAGCACTCCTTTTCATATAGTCACTCTGAGGTTCTTGCAGTAGATCTCGATCGACGTAATCGTCTGAAAGCAGGGAGGCCGGCACTCGGAGATTCGTCCCGAAAACTCTCTGCTGCGGACTGAATCCGCTTCGGTCGTAGTACATGTTGTGGATCATCGCCGTCTCGGCCACGGCAATTTTGTAGTCCCGGTCTGTAGTGACCGCCGCATCCTGGCAGACCTTGGCGAGGCGTGATTTGAAGATCCCGCCCGCCTTTTCCGTCCTCGAGTTCTGCCATGGTGATGCGGTGTCCGTGAAGTGCACCACCGTGCCGTTGTCGTTCATGAGGTCCAGGAAGTCCTTTCCGGTGAACTCAGTGCCTTGATCACAAACCACCATCATTGGCGGTCCGTAGTGCGCCAACCACGCCTGGGCCATGGCCAGCGCCACTGAGGAAGACGTTTTGTCCTCAATGATCTCGACAATCTGGTAGTTGGTGCCCCAGCAGACCACATTGAGGAATATTTTGCGGTCTACAAAGAAGAGGTCCACACCCACGACCTCATTGAATGGCATCGTCCTTGCCGCCAGATGTGCCGGGCGATGCTGAGCAGGAGGCTTCTTTTGCTTGCATATAGGGCACTGAAACTTCTTCCGAACCCATTTGAGGATTTCTGGCTTTACACCCGCGTGCTTGAGTGCTCGAACCAGGGTCGCTGTGTCCGGATGGCCCAGGTTGCGGTGGATCCTGTAAACTTCTCGACGAATGTCCGCTGGTGGGCTCGGAATTTCGGGGTCCATCACCTCGGGTTCCGGTAGTTCGGGAACTTTGAGATCTCGAAGTTCGTTCCTGACCATGGTCTCATCGACAGAGTCCAACTCCATCGCAGTTCCACGATCATCGTCACGGTATCCTTGGGCTCCTGCATCACGGGAGCCGACCTCGGAATTGTCGAGGTCGAAGTCGTTGTGCATGTCGTGAGGAGGGTGAGCACGATTTGCGCGTGCCTCCTCCCCCAAAATATTGTGCGATGGAAAAATTGAGCGCCATTCCTGTTGGAAGATGGCCTCAGTAGTCTGGTAGGAGCTCAAATGGTGGGCAGCTCCTGCGGCCAGCCACGTTGCGTAGGCCTTGAAGGAATCCGAGACCAGCGTTTGTGGCTCAAGTTCAAAGTAGGTAACGCCAACCCAGGGAAGCTGCTCGGGCTTGTCCGAGCTTCCACGCCAATCATCGACGTCCACCTTGGATGGCCGGCCGACGAAGTGTTTTTCAATCTGTCTCCTGCCCGTGAACTTGAGAAGGTTGATATTGTAGGCGTGGCATTGACTGGGCGAAGTAGGGCGTAGTCGTGGTTGGAAGTGTCGGCAACACAGCTGAATGGCGTCCAGGGACCAGCTGTCCTGAAGTTGGGGCACCTGACAACGGCCTTGACGAAGATGATGCCGTATTCCACTCAAGAGGAACTCCACGAAGACGTTGAGTTGCTTTTCCTGTTGCGTGAGAGGTCCCCGGGGTAGCGGCATCGGTTTCTGAGATAGACGCTTGGACAATGTTGTCGTAATGAACTCCAGGTTGGTGATCAGGATGGTGGGGCCCCTCCCGGACTGTTCACCATGTTGTAGCTGCATCCGATACACTTGGGGATGCTGTAGAAGGCTCTGCAGGTCGTTCAGAGATTCCGTGGAAGGATGTTCTACGATGAACCCACGATTGGCTGCTAGCTGTAGCTGTGCCAAGGACGCAGTGAATCTCGCATGTTGTGCTCCACTGTCTGATGGACTCGCAGTTGTAGTGGATCTCGAATGTGCTGCTTCACTGTTTGATGGACTCGCAGTTGTAGTGGATCTCGAATGTGCTGTTTCGCTGTTCGATGGACTCCATGTCGTAGTGGCTGTCGTCCTTCCATCGCCCAGCAGGATCACAGAAGGTCGTTTCGAGTTGATCAACTGCAAAGCCGCCTTTCGATGACTTCCCAGAGTGAAGTCCCAGCCCTTGTTCAAATCAAAAGAAGAACCCACTTCCTTTGGACTTTTCAATCCACTTGACTCCGTTTCTGCCAGCGTCTTCATCATGCCGGCAAGATGTTCCTTGGTCGCCTTGTTCAGCACCTTCAGGTTGTTGTCGGGAAACTCCTTGATCGATTGGCCGACATAGTCCATGACCCAATTGAACTTTTGCATCTTGTCCTCGAAGATGTAGCAGCACCAGGATGACGTCGTTGAGGTGGAACCTGAAACAGTAGAGCTCGTGGACCAATGTTGAGCATCGGGTTCCCAAACCATCATCGTCCTGGGCAGTCCCAAAAAGGTGGGGCCGAGATTGGCCCAATCCGTACTCGCCCACGTGATCAACAAGAGGAGCGTTTTCACTACCCAACCTTGGTTTTGCAGTTCTCGCTTCAGCTTCCTCAGTGGTGCCGGGGAGTTGTCATTGATGGTCGCCGCATCCAAAAGTACCTTGGGCCTTACTTTTCGGTTTTGACCACCTGCTGCATCTCCTCGTCGGACCACGTTTCCTCGTCGGTGTTGATCTCGTAGGTCTCGTGAGCTGCTGGGTCGGAGTTCTTCTTGAGAGGCTGAATCATCCTTGTTCCGTGGGATGTCGGACGGGTCCTCGAAGGTGACCGAGCGTCTGTTGAGGCTCGTGCCCTTTGGGGGCGACTCGTGGTCGACGGCATTGAACCCGTTCCACCCGTCTCGCTCGAAGATGCCGAAGCCAAAGCTTTGGGACGACCATAGTTGTCCAACTCGACCGTCTTGTCCCCTTGTTGTGGCCTGCTCCGAGGTGCCGGCAGAAACTTCGGGAACTCCTGGCCGCGGCGCCCCATGAGCTTGGGCTCGTTCTCGGATGTGGCCGGGAGCTTCTCCTTGATCGTCTCCACCATGTCGTTTCTCTGCCATCGGCTGCCGCAGAGGGTGCACGTCCACCATTGGGAGTTTGCGTTCGCACGGCATCTCAGCTTGTCCGGGGGATGCTGGCATGCACTCGGCTCCAGCGCAAAGGTCTTGTGGGCCTTGGACCTCGACAAAGGTTGGCCGATCCCTTGATTGATGTGCTCGGACTTCGCGGTCTTCTTCTTGTCCTTGGCATTGCGCAACTCGTTGGAGGCGGCCTTCTGCTCCTCCTTGAGTTCGTCGTTCAAGTAGAACTCGTCCACCACCATCTGCTGCCTGGCCGTCGCCAACATCATCAGAATCCGAAACGTGATCCGTCGCCAGGCTGCCTCGATCTTCGCGATGCCCAGCTTCTTTTTCGGCAGGTCCTCGGATTGTCGGATCTCGTTGGCCACTAAGCGGTCCGCCCGTTGTCTCAGCGAAGACATTGTTCCGAATGGGGCGGGCTGGACGGCTGTTCGAATTGAGAATCCACTTGGCTGCTCGCGAAATCATTCGCTCGAACCAGGATGCTGAGGGGGCAGGAGTCGCGTTGAACGATTGATTCACCTCTTCAAAGACATGCTCTAGATCATACTCTGCATGTCTTGCTTGTGATTCATGCTGTTCTTCATCCTGCCATTCCACATGTTCACAGAGCAGCTGCGCCTTGACAGGGTCACGAAGGGGGAAGTGGAGGTCACGGAGTTCCCGCAAGTCCTCTGAGCTCATAGAGTCCACTCCCCGAGATGTGTAGGCCGTCAGACTAATCCTAGACCCTTTCCATGCTGTCACTTCATGCCAAAGTTTGGGAGGAAACTGAACAACACGATGATACGTTTGGACCAAACTCCCCTCGATCAGCTGCCCTTGAGGTCCCCTGACTGTTTTGCTCTTCTTGGACCATACCTCCGTGCCGGTGTTTTGGATCCACAGCGAGCCACCTTTGTGCTTGCCGAAGGAAACCGAAAGATTCTGGGAGTCGGCGATGTTGTTCACATCTCGGTGCAAAGGGGCACTGGTATTTGATGCCACACTGAAGGAACTGAACGAAGACTGCGGCACCTGGTGCCTGAACCACAGGGCAATGTACTTGGACAAGTTCGGGTATCTTCGAGTGGCTTTGGTGACTCCCACAAATGATCCGTGAGCGAAAGCCCCGAAAGCCGCTGCAAAGGATCTGTGATGATCGGATCCTCGAACATTCGTCGTCTTCACGATGGCCCGAAAGTGGTCCAAGCGAGCCGGTTGGAGCATGTGCAACATCTCCTCCATGTCTTGCATCGACCAACGGTCATTCTGCATCATGAAGATAGCCTTTGCCTCCACATCTTCGCCCGCCCTGAAAGTCACCCAGGACGCCGGAACGGACATCGATTTCGCTCGGCGAGCATTCGGATTGGAGTTCTCACCACTCCCCCCAAAATTGTGGTTCGAGAATTGCGAAGAAGAAGGAGTTCCGGATGCTGTAGAGGACGAGTGTCCCATCCAAGCCGAATTGGTGGCCGTGGCGGACTGAAACGGATCCTTATTGGCCACCCGAAGCTGTTTGGGGAGTGACCACTGTCGTCCTCGAAAGTCCAAAATGGAAACTGTGCGGTGTCCTGATGCGAGCCTTGTCATAGAGGTTGAGCTTCCGGAAGACGTCGTGAGCTTCTCTGTGGGCAGGTCAATGTTGGAGCCCACTGCCTCAAGAAAACTGATGGGCAGCAAGGGTGGAGTGGTAAATTCTCCGTCTCGAAGCACATGAAACCTCAGCAAGGCGTGAATGCCAGCGATGGCGACCGGAACATCCTGAATGCTTTCCAGGGTTGCTTCGCCACCGATTCCTGCACAAGGAACGGCAGGGCCATCTCGAGGAACCACCTGGGGCTGCAGTCCGCAGCCAGGCAGTTCGCGCCTGAGGTTTTCCATGGCCGTGACGCCGATGACCGCATCTTCAGCAGCCGTATCGACAATTGCATCACATCCTCTCACTTGAATCCCAGCGAACACCGCAATCGTCCTGCGCATGACCGCTGAAGGCTGGGCCGAAAGATTGTTCGTCGTGGCCCAGGCCGCTTGTGAGAGATGCATGAAGACGTGTCCTCCACCAGAGCCGCGGGACACCACAAAGTTCATTTTGCGATCCGCTGGGGTCCCTTTTCCGCCTGCACCACCCTTCAATGGGCAGTCTCGGGCATAATGGCCCAGTTCTTGGCAATTGAAGCATTTTGTCCTGCTCTGAAGATCCTCCATAGATCCGCGAAGCATCTTCGGACCACCTTTGGATGCTGCTCTCGGGCGGAAGCCACGACCTCGTCCTCGACCCTTTGGGGCAGACTTCGAAGAGCTGCGAGCCCTCGGAGGAGCCTTGTTGTGCTTGATAAATCCTCGCTCCTTGCGACGGTCTCGAAGATCTTTTCTCACATCAGCATAGGCTGAGTGGTAAGCGGCCAGATACAGGGACTCATCCTCGTCGTAAGTCCTGTCCTCAAAGTAGATCTGGAGGTCCTCGCCGTCGGGAGGAACTTCTTCGTCTTCGTCCCCAACCTCTTCTTCCTCCGATTCCTCGTGGCCTGCCTCCTCGTACTCCTGCTGGACATGCTGGTCGTGGTAGATCACCGGATAGTGTTTGGAGGCTGCTGCGGATCCCAGTTCTGCGTTGGCCGCCTGAGCAATCATTTCCGGCCTGTCCAAGGGCCTAAGCATCTTGGCGACCTCCTCGAAGCTCATCAGCGTAGATTGATCTCGAAGCGAGATCAGCTCACGTTGCAGATCTGATAGATGGGCTTGACGAAGCAATATCCTTCCCGCCACCTTCTCATTCAATCTTTCGCCTAGATTCGTTTCCAGTTCTTGGCGGGCAATTTCCTTGCTAGCCAAGAAGTTCGCAAAGCTTTCTCCACGGGCTCTGTCTCCACTGAAGAAGAACTTGTCTATGCTCGCTGGGCCAGCTATGTCCAAAAAAGGACGGTATTTAGCCATCAGAGCCGTCAAGACAAGGTCATAGCCGCTGGAAGAAAGAAGCTCCGACATAGGGATTTGATCTGCGATTTTACGTGGCTGGGAACCTTCTGGAAACGACTGATAAAGGCGCAGTCCCCACTTTTCACGATGGAGGGTTGTTTCAGCTTCCCAACAAGCCAGCAGCTTCAACCACGACCTCAGAGTTCCAGGCTGCCCGCTCCACGAGGGGATGCTCTTTCTTTCACCCGTCAGGGCAGCGATGAATCTCTCACCTTGGTCAGGAGCAGCTGAAGTAGTCTTGGGAGGGCTCACCCCAAGGACATCAAAGGCTGAAGACACCTTCTCCGGGGCTCGCGGCTGCGCCAAGGACGAGGTCAAGCTCGCCGCGGCAGCCGCCCCTGCATTTCCCCGCACATCTGTAGCTGGATTGGGCTCATGCATACTTGTAGTAGGCGCCGGTGTTCCGGTAGAACCCGCGAATGTCGTAGGGGGCGCTTGGAAAGTGGATGGAGAAGACAAACCAACTGGTACACTTCCTCTGGGAGGTGGAAGGCCAGAGCTATTAGGAATCCCTTGAGGAGGTCCCGTAGCCAGAAAAGGAGAGGGAAGTCCTCTCACGTAGGGGCTTCCGAAGTTCGCGACCTGCGGAAGACCATGACCTCCAAGACTCCAGTCACTTGATGACGGGTAGCCCGCAAAGGGAGGCTGACTGATCTGGTTTCCAGAATTCGGCATCCAAGTTCCAAACGTCCTTGACGTAGCACTAGCTCCCTGAGCTGTAACTCGCGAATCACCGTCTGGTAATCGGGAAGCGGGTTCTCCAGAGCGTCCGACGCCCGATCCTTCAGGAAGGTCCTGACGAAGAGGCCTCCGGGCCAGGTACTCGGCCCAGGGGTCCATTCTGGCTCTACGCCAGGCTCCGGTGCCAACTGATCGAAACTACGATGCTAAGCACACATTTTACTGCGCACCATTCGCGACTCAAGGCCTGCGGTCACAGTGCAGCTCCATGCTTCACAGTCGAACTCTGCACATGTTCTAGAACGGAGACATCATAGGGATCCTGGGAACTACGTCTGCATTTATACAGTGCGGTTTGGCACATGTCCATACCTGTCCTTATCTGCACGGTGCAACAAAACTACCCCCAATTAAGGGGTTCTCCAAGAAACAACAGTAAAGACAATGGGGTCGGATCCTGGCGGCTTTCTGACAGCAACTGACACTGCTGCCTGGCCTCGAGATGGCTTTCTACCGCGCGGCGCAAGGCCTGAAGCATCCGATTTTTTGAGACTTATTTGCAGTTGCGTGAGCCTGCAATGACACACAGGTCGACCTACAGTATCTAACTGACGTGGGATACATAATCCGCCGAGGCCACAGGCCCTGGCGTATTGGGTGTTAGCTCAGGTACCCTCCACCGAAAACAGTTTCGGGACACCTGATTTTTTGCGTTCGTTCCCACCCCTTTTACCGGCTTCTTCCGCCCTTCCCCTGCCCTCCCCCACCCCGCCTTCCCCCCTTCCGCCGCCCCTGCGTCCCTCGCCCCCTTCCCTCCCACTTCTGCATCCGCACTGCTCTGTCACATTACAGAGGCATGTCGACGAGTTCTGTCACAGTGCCGGAAACAGCCGAGGCGGGCGGCGTAGCGCATCGACCATCTCTAAGGACGCGAAGCACTCCTATGCGAGCCACGACACAGATTCTTCCTTGATGGTGGTGTGCCATCGCTGCTCCAATCCTCTGCGCAGGAGGAGCTTGGCGCAGCAGATCTCTGGAACACCCGAGACTTTCAATTAAACACGAACTCTTGCTCCGATTGAATTCGCTGAAGCCGCAGACTCGCACCCCTAGACAAGGCTCGGCTCTCCGACTGCTCCCGGAGGCTTTGCGAGGTGCGGATGGCCTGGGCCCATCAACTTCTGGGCTCCTCTCACCACATGAACACTCGTCACTTTCGGCCTCGTCTCGTCTCTTCCTTTCCTCCTCCACAGGTCGAGTCGAGTCTGTCGCTCACTTGTGAGGTAAAAGCGGAGGCCTGTATCAAGGCGTCCATGCTGGCGACCATCTGCTTGCGAGCTTGGGCTTCCATCCTTGCGTAGTACTTGGGACTTGCCACCGCAGGAAGGGGGCGAAGCAACTTCCAGGTTCTCCACTCGCAGCGCTCTGCCGCATGCCTGCCACTGACAGTCGGACCCTGTCCTGACTTCATGCCGGATTGAGCGCATCTCCTGCAGGCTGCAGCTTTGTCGAGAAGCCTCGCAGCCTCTGTGTTTGGACTTGAACCTACGTGCCTACGTGCTCCGAATCCATTCCCCGCCGAACCATTGGCCCTCGATGCTCTCGTCTGATTCGACTCCACTCTGCATTTCTGACACCGTAATCGACCCCAAAGCCAAAGTAGCCTGAAGCAGATCCGGAGGCTGTAGACTGGCGACAGCACCGCATGTGCCGCCAACAGGCAAGGTAGGGCCGGTCCTTGGCTCTACCGCGGCAAACGGGCAACTTGCCGCCGGTCTGCTCAAGAGCAGCAGCGGCAGCAGCAGGCTTTCCGAATTCTGGTTCAGCTAGGTTAAACTAGCACGAAGAGACAGTCTGCGTCCATAACCGCAAGAGAACCGGAGGAGAACAGCAATATCTCACAAGATAATGCTGGCCGTGCGACATGGAGCTCTTGGGGAATGCAGCCATATCCTTCATCAAGGATTTCTTCATCGTCTCAATGGCCTGGAACGGCCGTCTGAAGCAGCAGCATTTGCTAAGGCAAGCTGCGTTTTAAAGCTTCGAGCCTGGACTTGGGGAGCCACACAGCGCAAAATGGATAGGAGAGCCGCCAATGGCTTAACGCACTCTCTCCCCACCTTCACTGCTTTGCTAGACTTCCGGTAGCCAGATTTTGTCCAAGCGGCCAAGGTGCTGGCTAGCGAGCTGGAATCGCTAGCTGTGCCTGAGGGGACCAGGGTGGCAGAGCCACAGCAGGACCTGCTAAAGCCGGTATCCTCGCCCGCAAGCGCAAAGCATTTCGACTCTCGCAACTCGCACAAAGAGGGCAAGGCTTCACAACTGGGTCAGATGGCGAGACACATTACCAAACAGCCCTCTCTTTGAACCCTTGACCGTGAAAATGGCTGGCTAAAATACTTGCCTATGCACCCTTTCGAACCTCAGCGACTCTAAGTTCGTGAGCCGGGTGGCCCTGGCTGGTGCTGATCATCGCTTGGCTGGAAACAGCCGCTCCTGAGTGCCAGATATCGATGTTCAATTGCATGTGCGACGGTCGTCCTCTAGGCGAAAACCGACTGTTCCGGCATTAGCATGGCACCGGTGCCATACGAAAGGCCGTTGTCAGGCTGGAAACGCAACAAGAAAACCAGTGTCGCAGTCAGCGCATGCGCGACACTGAGTCCCCAAACAGCCTGAGTGCTTCCACCCCAACACCAACGTCACAAACGTTCAAGTTATGTGTCTGAGCATGTCTGAACACCGTCACCCGCTCGTATGTCTATCTTTATATGAATCTACTTATCTGTATATACAGTTCCATTTACATGGCCCCCCCCAAAAGTATGGTCTGGTACATGGTGTGGTGGTGCTGGCGGCCAGGGCTCACACGCAAGCCCTTCGCAAGCAAGCCGTAAACCCTTACCTTAACTTGACGTAAAACCCTAAACCCAATCCTAAACAACCCCACCTAGCTGCAGGCTCTAAGCCTAAAGCAGAACATACACCGCAAATCCTCCCTAAGCCCTTGTCGACTCGAAGCCTTATACCTTGTAAAACCCCCAAACTCAAAAGCTTAAGCTAAACCGTAGACCCCAAAACCCACAACCACTTCACAGGGGGAAGAGGGACCCCACACCAAAAAGGAGGGGGGGCCCACCGTATATCCGGACCATTGACTTTTCGGGGGAGGGGGGGTGCGCGGAGTTCGCGTATAAGGTCGTTTGGGTTTGCTTTTCCCGATCTGCCTGCCCTGCGTATGTTCTTTTTCCCCTCTGATGGTCGTTTTGGCTTTTTGTCCAACCTGCCTTGCCTGCATGCCTGGCAAAAAAGCCGCTGACTGCTCACCAATGCTTTCGCACGTGCGGCGTTGGTTTTGCAGCAAGCACAACAAACACCCACGGTGATTGCAATGTGATCGCCCACGGTTCTGCCCTCGACCCCGACCTCCTCCGGCGTTCGTTTGCCGGATGCTGGGGGAAAGGCTTGGCACTGCCCCGTCAAGGTTTGCCCCGCCTCCGGAACCCTTCCCCCTCCCTGGAACAGTTTTCCCCCTCGCAGCCTCGGTCTCCCGACCCTTTGCGGGCGGAGCTCTCTATCCGGTTGCCCGGGTCGGTCTTTGGTGCTGTCCGGAAGCCAAAACCGTCGCAGGCCGACAACAAACCCAGCCCGCCAACCGTTCGAAAGGGACTGGAAAATCTGAGTAAAATGAGCGAACCGTTCGAAAGTGACTAGAGGATCCCAGAAAGAGGATCGAACCGCTCGAACAAAGGACTAGAAGATCTGAGAAAGAGCAGAACCATAGAACCGCTCCAAAAGGGACGAGACAAACTGGGAAAGGGGGCGAAACGCTCGAATGTGACATCTGAGAAAGAGCAGCGACCCGCTCGAAAAATTCGAAAAACGAACGAAACCTTCGAAAGTGTCTAGAGAATCTGAGAAAGAAGAACAAACCGTTCGAAACGGACTAGAGAATCTGAGAAACAGGAGCACGCCGCTCGAAGAGGACCAGAGAACCTGTGAGAAAAGGAGCGGTTCGGTTGAACCGGACAAGAAAAATCTGAGCAAAAGGAGCGAGCCGTTCGAAAGGACTAGAGAATCCCAGAAAAAGGAGCAAACCGCTCGAACAGTAGAATCTGGCATAAGAGCGAATCGCCCGAAAAAAGAATCAGAGAGAATCTGAAAAAGAGCAGCGACCCTTCCAAAGGGACTACAGAATCTGAGAAACGGGTGCGATCCGCTCGAAGCCTACAAGAGTCTGAGCAAGAGCGAGCCATTCGACAGCGACAATAGAACCTGAGAAAGAAAGCAACCGCCGGAAAGAGACTGGAGTGACTAGAGAACATGAGAAAGATCGCGTAACGTTCGAAAGGGACTATAGAGACTCGGAGAAACAGGAGCGAACCTTGCGAAAGCGATTGACGAATCTGAGAAAGAGGGAAAGAGGAGCGAACCGCTCGAAAGGAAGAAACTAATTTTTTAGGCATCTGAATATTCGCCTTTGTGTGCATCTTTGCAAAATTAACCCAAACGAGACATGTGTGTGTATGAGCCGATTATGACAAGGCAACTTGATTTATCGGCCATGGAGCCACTCGGTGTGCTGCAGGTCCCGCCTTGCGAAGGCCTCCCACCGTCCTTGCGTACCTGTTGGTGAATGCAACGGTGGGGAGGGGGTCGCGCCTCGGAACGCAGTAGAATACAACCATGATTAAAGACGC